GGTTTGGGGGCCAGGTGAGCAGCAGTAAAAAAAATTATTTATGAACACATCAAATTAACAGTAAATCTCCGTCGCCGGGTTTATTTTTAATAATACTTTGTTAACGTTTTATATTCTCATGTCATTCGTTTTATTATTTTCACTTGAGCAACGATTAGCCGGCGCGGTAAAACCCAGAAAACCTTGCTGCACCTCACAAGCTAAAGCCGATTAAATTAAATTAAAAAGCCGCCTGTCAATAGACAGGCAGTAGCTAATTAGTTGCTACGAACTGCAATTGGCGAAGATTACGCAATTAATTGGCGGGCCTGTTCTAGATTTCAATTCCGATCAAGCTTTTCGAAATCCAAATTGATTGATGCTCTTTATTTGGATTATGATCAAATCTTGTCGCTGTTGGACTGAAAAACAATTGGCAAAATAATTTGAGTTATGCACGTTTCTTGTCAGCCAAATAATTTGTATTTAATTATTGTATTATATTATTAATTGAAATATTATATTTGTATTTATTAATATATTCAGTTTTTCCGGCTAAAGTTTTATCTCACATATAGAGTTGTTTTTTCATTTATAAAATGTCGTTGTATGTCAAACACTATTAAGGGAAAACAGCTGTTCCAGCATTTGATATCGAGGTGGAAAGAAAACACGATTCGGAGTCGATTCGGACTCACTTGAAAATAACTTTAAGCCGAATCGAAATCCAGAACAGGACCGTAGATTGAGTAAAAGAGATTTCTGGTTATTTAATCCGAAACTCTCTTTCGGAGTAAAAACGATTTGGAGTCGATTCGGAGTCGATTCGGACTTAATCGAAAAATAACTTTAAACCGAATCGCAAAACTAGAGCAGTTTTCTGGTTATTTAATCCAATATTTTCTTTCGGAAAGCAAACGATTCGAAGTCGATTCGGACTCATTCGAAAAATAACTTTAAGCCGAATCGCAAACTAGAACAGGCCCGTAGATTGCATAAAACAGATTTCTTGTTAATTAATAAATGTATATATTTATATACATATATATAAATAAATCGGACACTTTCTGAAACATTTCACTTGATTTCTTATCACATTGAATATTTATATATGCACAATGAGCTCTATCGAGTAACCTTTCTGGGCTGATCCGTCAGTATCAATGCGAGGCCCAGATGTCGGAGGCTGTGCTTTTAAAGCAACGCTCGTCGTCGTCGTCGGCGATTCGGCGTTATCATGCAAATTCAATTAGAAATGTTTAATGCGAACTTCACAAGCTAGTCCCGTCCCGTATTGTCTCACACAGATCGTCTCGAAATATGCATATGTAAGTCATACGAAACTGGATGTTTATAAATGTTCGACTTGGCTACGCGAATCGTCTGAAATGTCGACTGGTTTGGGGATTTATAATCACTAATTAGCGCCATGTATAACATCAACAGCCAAATGGATTTGTTTCTACCCTAAAACATATACTAATATATACCATGTATGTCTGTATAAACATGTATTTATTGAGAGCTTCCATTTTATCTATTTCGTGGAAGAAAACGTTAGGAACTTGTTTTTGGGAGTGGAGTAAACAAATTTGAGTAGAAATACAAGAATATACAGCTAATTATTTAATTTAATTGTGCACCTATAAATCATTCGAGGGGGACAATTCAAGGGGAATCCCAAGGCAAGGCTCATTCCAACTAGAAAAAAAATAAAACATTTTCTTAAATTGGGTCGTCGAAATATTCATAATTTATGGTTTAACGTGTCAAATTCACCATTTCCGATGGCTTGTTTTTATTTGTTGGGTCCGCATTTGAGCAATCCCTTGAATCTTAATTGAAGTTTGCATATTTTTAAATAAGTATTTCGTTTATTTTTATGCTGTCTTACCAGTTAGCTTGGGCCCCGTTAATACGTGCTGTAAAATATATAATTTCAGTTAAGAATTTGTTAATTCATTTCCTCACTTGGTGTTAAAGGAATTTCAAATTTATAAATACAAAATATTAATTTGTGATTTAAAATTTTTATTTATGCTTATGAAAAATTACTGTTTTGTTTCGTATTGTGCGCCTTTCATTCAGCCTGACGCGCATATATTAAATTCTTAAGCTACAATTTGGGGGGCATACAAAATAATTATAATATGTGGGTAATTTAGCCAATCAGGCGACGGGATGTGAGCTTGGGTTCTTGAGGTGCTTCAGTAATGGGTGTTGCCACTGGCAGGAGTACAATGGCTTGGCTCAGGTCAACTGGCGGAGCTGCCCAGTTTTCGGTCATGGCAAATCTCTGAGAATAGATAAAGAAAGTTATATTTGAGTAAATATTGAATGGATCTGTTATGAGAGCACTTACTCCACTGGGTGCATAGATAGAGCCCCGCTCAATCTGGGGAAGAGCCGACGCGAATGCCAGGCATCCAATGAGAGCCACGATGATAACTTTCATATGATTCATATTGAATGGATGATGTTGTTAGGGCTTCTTAATCAGGGATATTCTCACGCTGCGGGTGCTGTCTCTGCAATGATTCTGCATTGTCGAGGACTTTGCTTTTATACGAACACCTTTCTCTTTGCAAACAAAAGTGTAAGCATAAAATGTTTATTTTAATCTTACAAATATGAGCTTCCGTGTCGTGAGTCACATGAATCTCTCTTGCAATTCAGTTGGTTTCGACTCACATTCATTATTTTTATGTAACTAATCGACATTTTTGACAGGTACGAAGAATCTTTTGTTTTAACACAAGATAGTTAACGTATTTTTAAATTACGATCCAATTACCTCATCCCACCTGCCGATAAGCGCAGTCGTAAAAATAAATAATAATAATAATAAAAAATGACAAGGTCTTCATATCAAGACGCTTTACTTGCTAAATAGTTTGGAATATGACATTCAATGCGAAGAAGTATCTTCTGGTAACAGACGGCAAGCGGATACTGGAATCCCAGCTCAATTCACGGGCGAAAAATATCACAAATAAATTTCTGTTTCCATTCAATTATGCCTTCATGGATTGATTGTAGGCACCAGACACATGAGTCAAACTCAAGACGAAACGGATTTTAGATAGAACAAGAAAGAACCTCTTGTTGTAGATATAAGAAAAGACCATCAAGCTCCTTATTGAAAAACAGAACATATTTTCTCACTAATCGAACTATGCCTGCGATTTTGATATGTCTTTTATCTAAGGAGCATAGTAAAATTAATAAATGCCGGTTTTGGTCAAGTTATCTCGAGAAAAAAAAAGAGTTTTCCATACATTCCCTAAAAAAGAAAGCTTTTACAATGAGAGACTGTTGATGATGTAGATGATGTTGAATACATATAATTTATTTATTCAATTTATTTATTACACGATAACACAATAATACGCTTTACAATAGTTTAAAGAGTTTATATTTCGTGCTCGGATCGTTATACTCCTTGAACAATTGCTTACTGAGACCCAGACTAGAATCGACCTCGGTCGTAATGTGAGAGTAGAATTTAAGTTAATGAGTAAGAAACCATTTGTGGAAGAGTTTCAATGGGAAGTCAACTTCTTGCGATCAAAACTTATGCAACATTTAGTTTCCTTGTTTTCGTTATCCTTTAGATGAGAAGTTTTTGGTTGTTATCCTTGTTATCCTTTAGATGAGCAGTTTTTGGTTTAGGCTAAGTTTAAAAAACTACAGTTTAATTTGCACCACAAAAGTAGCAAAATTTTAATAAAAAAGTAGAATTTGAAAAAGTGTTTATTTGTATAAAAATGTTGATATCAGTATTCACATTCCTCTGAATTTAAATGCTGACCTTAATGTATTTCAAATAAAAGCCATATTAATATTGTCGACAGATTGAAAGTCCGTAAGGCTAAAAGGCAAATATTTTCATTTCATTTCATATATATATATATATATATATAAAAACAGTATTAGGTATTTTTTAATCTGAGCTCACAAGAGCGCACATAACTTCAAATAGTTTTATTGTGGATAAGACTTTGATAAACTTAAACTTCATTTTTAAACAAATATAATAGCACAAACAATTAATTAATTATCTCTGCTGTTTTCCCTACTATGCTTTTTAGTATTTGCAGGAAACACATAATACAAATATTTGCCTCATTTCAATCTCAAATTGATTCCAATGCGATAAGACAACACAATTAAACGATAAGAACAGGAAAATAAATCTCTTGGTTATGATTCTAAGCATTTTATTAACAATTATTTATTCAAATATAATGCTTCAAACCAGACAACAATGACCTTCAATCTTTGTTCCAGTTACAAATAAGCATATGAAGGAAAACTGGTTGCAATTGGAATTATCATCCAAGAGAGAAGTGCTTTCATCGGGGGTATTTTTAAGATCATGTAAAATCTTCAAATTCTTGTAAATCAGGAATGCATCTTTAAGAATTTTCGCTTGATCATAGACGATACTGAATACGCTATGAAAAGCTGATGAGGATTAAAGATGTTCAAAGATGTTTGTAGATATGGAATATATTGTAAGGGATATTAACAACCTTATCATGGAGAAGCAAAATTCAAGAAATATGGCCAAAGAATCGGAATATGTACCATTATATCTCCGTGATTATTTTTCTCCGTGATTATTATTTTAAGCAATAAGACAAATAGCTATATTAGTTTTTGAAATTGATGTGATTCTGCAGACAAATAGACGGACAGACGCACAGACTTTTAAACAGATCAACGGATATAGTTAGATCGACATGTCCGCAGCCAATACATTAGAATATATCTATTTAATAAAATTGCAATTGATTCAATCTTTTATAAACTTTCTACACCCATTTTCAATGTTTAAAGGTTTTGTATGTTATAAAAAAAAAGAAATTATAAAACATACTTTGATTTAAAAATGAACCTTAAGCTTAAAAGTAATTATACTATAATATAAATACCAAATTGGATTAGTGAAATCTTCTATTTAATAATTATTTAACGCATAGAAAATAATTTAATTTAAATTAAAATATTTAGAATATTTAACCAGTCAAATTGCGGGATGTGAGTTTAGGTTCTTGAGGTGCTTCAGTAATGGGTGTTGCCACTGGCAGGATTACAATGGCTTGGCTCAGGTCAACTGGCGGAGCTGCCCAGTTTTCGGTCATGGCAAACCTCTGAGAATAGATAAAGAAAGTTATATTTGAGTAAATATTGAATGGATCTGTTATGAGAGCACTTACTCCACTGGGTGCATATATTGAGCCCCGCTCAATCTGGGGAAGAGCCGACGCGAATGCCAGGCATCCAATGAGAGCCAAGATGATTACTTTCATATGATTCATATTGAATGGATGATATTGTCAAAGCTTCTTAATCAGGGATATTCTCACGCTTTGGGTGCTGTCTCTGCAATGATTCTGCAATGTCGAGGACTTTGCTTTTATACAAACACCTTTCTCTTTGCAAACGGATGCAACAAAAGTGCAAGTAAAAAATATAATTTGTTTTTAATTTTATGATTATGAGATACTTCCGTTGCTTAAATGACGTGATACATAATGCAAGCGGATGTTTTGTTTATATATCCACTGAAACTGGCAAATGAGCAAATTTATTTAGCAGGCAGACGAGGTATCTCCGGACCCATAAACTTATATATATATCTCTCTAGTCCTGTTCGTCTGTCTGTTTAGTTCTGGTCCCTCTCTCTCTCGTTTTTCTCTCAGTTTAAGGCTATTATCAGATACATTTGCATAATTCCGTCTATCAATAATCCACAGCCTACACCTTTATATATTTCAAGAGACAAAATTTCTGTCCAAGATATCTTTACAGAATCCTATTACATCATATCTGCAACTGTATCAAATCACTTTACTATATAATAAAGCTTGTGTAGGTACAAAGATCTTTATAATATCACTTATAAGCATGGAAAACAGATTCGTCATGCCGTTCTTTCTTTTTTTCAACACAATCAATAAACTGAAGTGTGAGTCCACTTAAATTTATGTAAATGTAGCTGTCAGAGGCAGCTTCCAGGAAAAGCATTTCGTGATTAGCCATCATAGGGGAAACTGACCTGTATTGCAGATAAGGCAGCTGGCGTATGGAGGTGATAATGCTTTTGTGTTGGAAGCATTTGCCAATCCATTTATATAGCCCTACTTATAATCCACAGAGCCAGTGCAGCTGTAGACGTCGTTTCATTCTTTTAGCTCCAAAGCGAAATGATTAACCAATGGAAATTCTTGGCAATTGTGTTGTTACTTGGTAACAGGATCACAGCAAATCCCATAGAACTGCAGCCCGCCGTAGCTACTGAGTTCATTATACTCCACAACAATGACATGCACGCCAGGTTTGAGCAGACGAGTCTCAACAGTGAAAGTTGTTCCCAGGAGGATGTCGAAAGGGACAAATGCTACGGGGGCTTTGCTCGTGTAGCCAATGTGTAAGTGGTACAAAAGGTCTTTAGACATGCCTAACGCACATCTTCTTATTTCAGAGTTCAGAAATATCGAGCAGAGGCTAAAAATGGGGGAACTCCGGTATTTTATTTGAATGCCGGCGACACATTTGCTGGCACAGCGTGGTTTGCACTTTTTAAACACAAAATTGCCAGCGATTTTCTTAATAAACTGCAGCCAGATGCAATGGTAAGTGCCAGAAAGTAAGAGTCCTCCATTCGAAAATGCCCGACTAGGAGATACCTAGTATTCATATATACTGAATTTTGTTTTGTCATAGTTGTTTACTGAAAAGTGCTTTCTTCTAAATTCTTTGTTAAAATAGACAAAATGAGTATTAATATTATTATAACAATATCTGTAACGATATACCTTAGCAGGATTAGCTCAGAGAAACTAAATTTTAAATGTAAAATCTTTTGTTATATTCACATATTTATAAACCATATTTTAGTCGATAATCTAATGGCGATAGGCTACATAACTAATTAAGAAATAGTTTCTTCATAAAGTAAACGTTTGTACAGCAATTCGAAGCTAGGTACAGGGTAGCTAAAAGTCGTGCACATTTACTTGACATTCAAACAAAATGATATCCTTAAATATCTGGAAATAAAGTTTCTTCAACAAAATCTAGTCCCTAGGAAACCACGAATTTGATGAGAAAGTAGAGGGTCTCGTCGAATTTCTAAATGAAGTAAGTTTCCCTGTGGTGGCCTGTAACCTGGATCTGGCGAGGGAACCTGAACTGGCTGCCACCAAACAATTGGTCAACTCGACTGTTCTTGATGCAAATGGCACCAAAGTCGCCGTGATTGGGTACGTTACGCCGGATACGAGATTCCTGTCAGTAAGAGACAACATGGAGTTCAATGAAGAAATCGAGTCAATTAAGTAAGAACACGACTTTTGATTATATTTTGCATAACTACATACTAGTCACATGTGGACCTTTTGTGCACTTTTAGTATAGAGGCGGCGAAACTAAAGGCTCAAGGCTTTAACATTATCATTGCCTTGGGACACTCTGGTTTTAAAAAGGACCAGGATATAGCGAGAAATTGCCCCGAAGTTGACCTTGTTATTGGCGGACATACGAACACATTTCTTTTCAACGGAGAGAAGCCAAGCGTCGAGAAAATAGACGGTCCATATCCCACCGTAATTACACAGGAGAGTGGAAAAAAAGTGCCCGTGGTACAGGCCTACGCCTACACGAAGTACTTGGGTAAATTGCACGTGAAGGTTGGTTGACGTGCAAAATTTCTCAAAATTCCTATTAATCATATATTCCTCGACAGTTCGATAAGGATGGAAATTTAATCGAATTCGATGGTTTGCCCATCTTGCTGGATTCTGGAGTCGCGCAGGACAAGGAATTGCTCAACCTGTTGGAGGTTTACCGCGAGAATGTTACGGCCCTAGAGAAGTCCATTGTGGGGCATAGCAAGGTGTACCTTGAGGGACGTAAGACCGTTTGTCGTTTGGTCGAGTGTAATATGGGAAATCTAATTACCGATGCGATGGTATTCAGCAGAGTCATGGAGGATCAGGGCGGCGATTACTGGACAGATGCGTCCATTGCCATTCATCAGGGTGGCGGTAAGTTTTCACAACATGTAAAATGTTCCATTTGGAAAGTAACCTCTTCATACTTCCAGGCATTCGCAGCTCAATCGAACGGAAGTCCGATAGCATTATCACTCAGAGCGATCTGTTGACCGTCCTTCCTTTTGATAATGATCTGTATGTCACAAGAATCAGTGGCAAGACTTTAAGGAACGCTCTTGAACATTCTGTAAGAAATAAGTATGCCAACGGAGCATTTCTTCAGGTATCCGGCTTGCATGTGGTCTACAATCCGGATATGCCAGAAGGTCATCGTGTTACCTCTGTGGAAGTGCGTTGCGCCAGTTGCTCGGTGCCAACCTACAGCAGTCTGAACGATGCCTCCTACTACAATGTGATTGTGCCACAATTTATATTCAATGGCGGTCTGGGTTACACTTTGGTAGAAGAAACGAACCCGGTTTCAATACGAATGCAAAAAACGATTGTTCAAGCTGTTCGACAGTACTTTAAAGCCCACCAATTTGTGACTCCGGAGGTGGAGGGCCGCATTGTGTTCAGAGGATCAAAGTTAGATTCCTGATATCTTCCTTAGTAAAATATATTGAAGCTTTTCATAACTGGAATTTGGGCATATCCCAGCAAGCAGACTTAAATAAATCCTTTTGTAAAATACTTTTCATAGTTCACTTATCAAATGTAATCATTTTTACAAGTAAAGCCTAATAATTGAAAGAAAAATAAGTTCTAGGCGCAAAAGGACTTGAATGGCATTCAAATGGAACTATGCTTAAAATTGAACCGGACTTTGATAATATTGCTACTGCTTGTTAAACAAGAGCGGGGCTTTAAGTTCTCCGTCGTACACAACAATGATATGCACGCCAGATATGACCCGATGAAAGATAGAAATGAGAAGTGCGACCACGGAGACGATGAGAAGGGGCTGTGCTTCGGGGGTTTTGCGAGAGTAGCTACGGCGTAAGTTTTGACTTCTCCCGTCTCCCATCTCCCACCTCCCACTGTGATCCACTTGCTTTAGTGTGGCAAAGGCCCGAGCCGAGGGTCCAACGATTTATTTGAACGCAGGCGACACCTTCCAAGGTACTCCGTGGTTCACAATATTTAGGGGTGAACTGGCAGGCCAACTGATGAATATGCTGAATCCAGATGCAATGGTGGGTACTTTGCTCGGCACTCGTTTTGCATTTACGGATTCCCTCCGTTTAACAGTCGCTGGGCAATCACGAGCTCGATGACAACGTGATTGGATTGGTGCCTTTTCTGCAAATGATCAAATTCCCCGTTGTCTGCAGTAATATAATCCTGAAAGGGGTTCCGGTATTGCAGAAAATGAAGAGTTTGGTTCACTCAACGATCATCACAAAGTTTGAAAAGAAAATCGGGATTATTGGATACCTGACGCCCGTTACAAGAAAACTAGTCTCGGCGCTTGATATTGAGATCCACAATGAAATACCCTACATTAAGTACGTATTCGATTTGCTTAGCTAAATAGTTGGGGAATTATAATTGTGTATTCCACAAGTGCCGAGGCAAAGAAACTGACTGACCAAGGAGTCGATATTATAATTGCGCTTGGACACTCCGGCTACAGCATGGATCAGGATATCGCCCGAAGTTGCCAGGACATTGATCTTGTCGTTGGCGGACACTCGCACTCGTTCCTATACACGGGCACGCCGCCAGAGCGGGAGAAGCCCGTGGGCAACTACCCGACTGTGGTGACCCGAACAAATGGACAACAGGTTCTGGTCCTTCAGGCGTATGCCTATACCAAGTATTTGGGAAAAATCGATTTGGAGGTAAGCTTCCTTGATGGAAATCAGGCGATCATTGATGAAGGATTCTATTTCCAATACTTAGTTTGACAATGGGGGTCGCTTGATCAAATATGATGGCTCTCCCATTCTACTGGATAACACAATAGCGCATGATGCCGCTATAAAGGCGCTCCTGGACAGCAAAAGGGCGACTATTGATGAACTGGACACCCAGGTGGTTGGCGTAAGTAAGGTTGTTCTCGATGGCGATCGGTTAGCGTGTCGTCAGACTGAATGCAATTTCGGAAACTTTATTGGAGACGCTTTGGTCTACGGCCGAGTCATTGAGGACTACGGGGGCCTGTTTTGGACGGATGCAGCGATAGCCCTAATGAATTCGGGAGGTATGTTGTATGTCTCTAAAGTTCATTTTTATAGAAGTTGTTAAGGAATTTGTGTGACAGGAATACGCGCGAGCATCGACCCGGGCCCGGACGGAACTGTGACGGGCGTGGATATAGCCACAGCTTTGCCGTATGGCAATACCGTGTCGGTCAGCCGCATTAAGGGCCATGATCTTGTCAAGGCCTTGGAGTACTCGGCCTCCTTGCGGCACACCGACTCGGATGGGGGCTTCCTGCAGGTGTCCGGATTGCGCATGGTCATCAACTACAATCGACCAAAGGGGAAACGCGTAACATCAATAAATGCGCTCTGCGCCGATTGCAGAATTCCGCAATATGAGCCCTTGGAGAGAGACAAATATTACTCGGTAATTGTGCCGAGCTTTATTATGAACGGAGGCGATGGTCACACACATTTGAAGGACTCAATAGAACCGGAACTCCATCGACTTAAACTGATTGATCGGGAAATAGTTAGCAAATACTATCAGGAGCACAAAGTTGTCTATCCCATGCTTGAAAATCGTATAACTATTATTGAGAAAAAACGCAGATCCTGCGCCCCGCCCCGATCGCAAACTTCACTTGTTCCAATTGCGCTAGTTACTTTTTCATACCTTTTTATACATACCTAATGATATTTTTTACAATACAATCTAAAATCATAATTCGGAATTGGATTAGTTTTCATTTTTCCACGAAAGCCCAGTCAAAAACTGGAATTTTTCTTGTGTAATAACTTCAGTTAAATAATAACTTCATTTAGTTAAGTTGCTTGTGACAATGTATTTTGACGTTTAATTGAAGCTCATAATACAAAAAAACGATGGGCTGCAGACACGTTCTAAACCGAATCGGATCGGATTAATTTTGTACTACGAGTCGAGCCTTTAACTTTACCAGTCAAAAAAACAGTGAAGCAGGAACCAGAACCAAAGCATATACTTTTCCGGAAATGATTGGGTGCAATATGGGAAACTTATAAGGGCAGCCCAGCCACAAAGCATAAATAACTTGGGACCCAGCCATTATGTTTAATTCATATTTGATAAATGCAATTTGGAATAGAGATCATATAAGCTCGCATCTCGCATGTGGAAATAAGTTCCTTGTAAAACCTAAAGGTTTTCAGCCAAAACCTTGGATTAACTATATGGAAAACCAGGCTCACGACTCAAGGCATCCGATCTGTCCAGGACTCCGACAATGTTTATAAACAAGTGAGGCTCAAACTGGGTTAGACTCCTTCTCTATTGTGACCTACAATTGTATGATGGATGGATTCATGCGATAAGCGGACTATATTAAGATGGATTGAATATTTTGAGTTTTGTGGTCAAATACCCTACACTCTAACTTGGAGAATTCTCTTAATATGTTCTCTATCACCTCTTAAAATCTGCATACATGGCCAGCTAAGTATCTCGCTGCAACGTTCTCACTTGGCATTAACCCGACTAATATGGAAACTGCAAGAAACCGTTAATCGCTGTCATTAATTGACAGCAATACCCAAAGCGACAACTAAGTAAGTATATGTAACCTGATCTTCTCAGTCCGAGCGCCGAGGTCATTAGCGATCTAATGTTGAGTTTCGTTAGCTGAATTCTCTTGTTGTTGTTGTTGTTTTTGTTAATTACTTAGACTCGGGGGTCGTCGTACCGCCAGCTTGTGCATTGACCCTCCACTATTATACGACGCCCTTGGCGGAAGACGTTTGTTTGCTTCTTCTTTTTTGTTTTATTTTTTTTGTCTAAGCCCCGCTGTAACTGGCACGCACTAATAAACATGCTCTACTCTAACAATAGGTTGGTCAAACTTGGCCTCTGTAAATAGTAAATCTCGTCGTCTAAGTCTGACCTCTTGCTTGTGTCTGTGCTCAAGTAAGACTGTCAAATTAAACTAAAGTTCTTGATTCTGAGAAGAAAGACAATTTGAACCAAATTAGACATATAAGAGACATGATCAGTTCCGTTCAATACTCTGCGTGAAATATTCCACATTTCATAATCAGAAAGGCTTCTTTACAAGCGAGTATTGGGCTGTCGCACCCCTTTTAAGGTATTTATAATTAATAATTTAAAAGATAAAGATTTTAAAATGACAAGCAATTAGGCAATAAATTTTATCTAAAACTTTCATTTTGGCAATGTTCTCCTCCGAGCACAAATGTATCTTCCATTTGACTTCGATTGGATGTTCAATAAGGGGGAGATCTGGAATTCTGACTGTTTTGTAAGATTTACCATTTAAATGAACGGACTGAACTCTAATTAATTAAAATGGCAAGTAATTAAACAATTATTTTTGACTTACAGATTTTCCTATAACTCTCAATTTGACAATGTTCTACTCCTCGCACAAATCTTCCATTTGACTTCGGTTAGAGGATCAACATATCAAATAAGGGGGGAGATCTGGAGTTCTGACTGTTTTGTAAGATTTACCATTTTAATGAACTGAACTCTGAGCCTTTTGCTGACTCCAGTGTGCATTCGCGTATGCGTGCTTCAGCCTCAGCCCTGGCCCTGGCCCTGGCCCTGGCCCTCACCTTCGGCCTGGCCCTTGGCTCAATGTGGCTACCGTCGTCGCTGCTGCTGCTTCTGCTGCTGTTGCTGCTGCTGCTGCTGATGTCGTGAGAACTACAGATACTTGTGCGCTTTGGGCCAGAGGTAAAGACAGCAAATGACTTGGTCGTAGGCGACACAATCACCGTCTGCTGCTGGCGGCAGTTGCCATTTGCCAGTTGGCTTTGGCATCTTTGCCAGAAGCCTTAAGCCCAGCAACTGGGAAGTCTTCTTCTTCTCTGCTCGTATGTAATTATAGCGAGCAGCTCATACTTAAACTCTGTCTCGGCACTTGATGTCAGCTGAGCTGCGATTCTCGGTTCTTGGGGTCTTCTTTGGCTAGGCGGCGGCGGCGGTCAAGTGCAGAATCGGGCATTTTGCACGGCACTTTAGCTTTCAGCTTCAGCTTTCAGCTTTCAGCTATCAGTCATTCGGTTAGTCATGGTTAAAGAAAGGTTCTTGAACTCACCCACACCCGCATTCACAGTCACAGTCACATTCACATTGAATGCCTGCTTAAATGTCGAGTGCTTGGCAGTGGCATTTCAATTTCTCAAATAGATTCGCTTCTCCGGCCGAGCGGCGACCTGGGCACAAGTATAATCTGCTCAACTAGTTTTTCGCCCCCCCCCCCACCCCCCAATTTAAACGGTAAATGTGCTTGTAAAAGACATCTTCCGTCTTCGAACTCAACTCTGACTTCCTCCACTGAAAATACCTTCCGCATACGATAGACTCTAATGGCCATATTAGTGACATTAACCACGTCTGTTGGCCCTTGGATTGATTATGCTCCACATCCAATTGGAGCTGGACTCGAGGCACGTGAGGCTGCCCCGTGGAAGAGCTTGTATTCGTGGTAACTAGCACTTCTGGACGAGTATGTGGAATAACAGTCGGAGCAACAAATTAGTCGAAAT